CTATCATGCAATCCTCTCAGCCCACCAACGACCTGGACGTCACCACACTCAGGTGGACGGCCCGCGTCACTCTCTCACGCTTGCGTGGCTCTCTTCCTGTCTTGCACAGTCCACGGATTTTCTGTCGCTGCGCGGCCGCAAAATCTCGCCACTGTTCCTGTGTTCTGCTGGCTGCGCTCTGGGAATCTTCTGCCCCTGCGCGCGCTCACCGGCGCCCAGACGTGCACCATCTCCTTTCCCTCCTGCCCTGATTAGTGTGGCAGCTGTGGACGCTGTGGTGGACATCAACAAACCCCCTGGCCCCCACCTCCCACTTAAAGAGACCCCAGAGCCCCGTAACGAGCCCGCCCGCTCAATGCTCCCGCCGCAAGCCACCCGCTCACACCCTCGTCACACGCCACGCCCATCGCAACCCAACGCCCCCCCAGGTGCCTGGAGGAGGCCGTGTCGAATTTTGCTGGCAGCACCCTGGTGGTGTCCCACGACAGGTGGTTCCTGGACCGAGTGGCGACACACATCCTCGCATTCGAGGGCGACTCGCAGGTGGGCGGGGTTTCTGTGGTGGAAGGGGGGAGGAAACTGAGCCTGAGACCATTGAGCCGTGAATTCAGTCTATGTATGTGCTACTGCATGTCGACGAGCGCGCTGCGATTTGGGTCCGTGTGCAGAGCTCTGGGGGCTCTTGCAAGTGGGGATGAAGGGGAGGGGGGCGCAGGGTGGGGCGAGGGCCGAGGAGAGAGGGGAGAGGGGAGCCGTGCGCGGCTGGCACCACCTGGCGTCGGCTGGGGCTTCGCAGCCCTTCATCGTCTGGTGCCTGCCCCTTGAAGCGAGCAGCCGTGTCGCGCGGCACCCTCGGCCTGGGCGTGCGCCCGTACGCCCGATCTCGTGAGACAGAGTTTGGGCACCTCCCATTGAAAAAAACGCGAAAACCGGGACTGCACGGCCCGCAGGTGTCCTGGTTCGAGGGGGGCTGGGCAGACTACGAGGCCTACCAGCGGCAGAAGACGGGCGGGCAGCTGCAGCCCCACAGGGTCAAGTTCAGGCGCCTGGCCACCGTGTGATCGTCACAGCTGGGCGCCGTGCCCGTGCACGCGCGCCCTTGCTTGCTGGTGGACGCGGCGGGCACGGCTTGCGCCCTGGCATCTCGCTTCCATGGCCGCTGGTCTGTAATTTATGGCGCTGGAAGGCTGTGCAAAGGGAGCTGAGGGGTCGGAGGACGGAGTGGTGCTGCAGTAGGCGCCGGCGTTTCAATTCGAGGACGGCTGGGCACAGCGATCTCGACGCGCCGATGGAGTGTTAAGCGGCATGGAATCAACATGTGAGTGAGAGTGCAACGCGGCATCAGTCACTTCATGCTGAGGACCGCCTTCACAAGGGTCGGTTTGCTTGGCAGTGCGCCCCGCCACCGCGAGCAGCTGCAGCACTGTCACACTTTTGCGGTCTCATCTGCACATCGCGGGAGCACAGCCATTAGCAGAAGCTTAGCAAGTACTTCGATTGGCATACCGTTGCGGCGTCATACGCACATCAACCAGCTGCCGCGACCGAGATCCGCAACGAAACCATGGGTGCCCCGCGCCGGTGAGAATATCCGAGGGCCGCGCACCTGGAACGCGGCAGCCAAATGCCAACAGGCAAAAGGACCCCCGCGGCAGGCCCTCTCGCTCTCTGTGCGCAGAGGAGGCGCAGCGCGCACCTTGTTGCCGCCCGGCTGGCGTTGCATCACAACCAGCCCCCCCCCTCCCTGACCCGCGCCCTCTCCATGCACGCCATAAACACCCGCTGTGCCGTGCGCCTGCAGCGCACTAGGCCTCGATACAGCTCTCTTGTCTGGCCCGCATCATCCAAGCCGCACGACGATGCACCTGGCCTCGCCAATACCGATGCGTTGCAGCCCCCTTGCTGCTTCACTGACCCGCCCTGCAACCATCGCCACAAGCTTCCCGCCCCCACCCTGCCGCGCCCCGCCCCACCGCACCAGATGCTGCGCAATCATCATCTCTGTGTTCCTGCCCCCCCTGGGCGTTTTCCTCATGAGGGGCTGCGGCAAGGACCTGTGTATCAACGTGAGCCACACCCGGTGCAGGGCGTCCAAGTGCTTGACGGGAAGGTCGCGGCGCTGCGGCGCTGGAATCCGCGCTCTCCCGGGCCATTGATGGGCGGCGGCGGCGCACGTCTTGCGAGAATGCAGGGGGGGCCTGCAGCGTCGGCCGGCTGGCGTCGATGGAGAGCAGTGGGCATGTTGGGAGGGATGCCTGCTCGCCAACCAGGCGGCCCCGCGGCGGCTAGCCCTGGCTGACGCCTGTGGTATGATGCCGTTTTCTGATGTAATGTTTGCTATTTGCTGCACCCGCTTTGCAGATCCTGCTGACGGCTCTCGTCTTCATCCCAGGTGGGGCCGGTGCACAGGCACCCTCCGTTCTGCAGAGCCGTCGCCTGCGGCGCTGCTGTTGCGCTCAAGGTTGCTCCCCAGCAACCAGCAGCCCTTGATCGCGCCTCTCACAGCTCACGGCCAGTGCGATGTTGCCCCGGCCTGCCCCCCCCCCCCCACACTCCTACACACAAGCACGGACGCACACCAAAAGGCAGGCACAAACAGTGACAAAACACCCACTCGAGGAAACCCACCCATGCAACCGGCCCCAGGCATGATCCACGCCATCTACATATCCCTGGCTGACACCAAGCACCACGGCCACCGCGGCACCGACGGCCCCGCGCTGCCGGTCACGGCAGCCCCCACCGCGCCCGTGGCCGCCGCCGCACCTGCCCAGGTGCCTGCCGGCTACCCCGCCGCCGCGCAGTGACCCGGCAATTGACCAGCGGTTGACAGCAGCTGGACGCAGGCGGGCGCAGCTACAGCCCACTCGCTTGCGGCCTCCGCTCATCGCTGTACTGTGCTGTCACGGTTGGCGCCGCGCGATTTGACAAACCCGGTGCTTTTTTTGTTGCAGTTAGAGCTGGTCGCTTCGTTTCAAGGCGCTGAGTCTTGGGGCGTGTGCCGCCGCCGGCTCCTCTGCCACATCAGCGCTGCCGCCTTGCCCTGGTTCGCCTTGGCTTCGCACGATTACAGCAGCGGCGAAAACGCACGAATGCTTTGGGAAAGGTCAGTGACTGTCTGGGTCTTGTGCAGTGATTGCATTTTTTTATCGACCAATCAACAGAGTTGAATCAAGTGTAACCCAAGGTGGGCACCCACCAAGCAATCCCAGCAGCAGCAAGGTGTGTTTTGATTCTGCTGAGGGGGAAGAGAGCAAACAGATGGCAAAAAAAGTCAGCGCAGGCGGTAATTGTGTCAGGTGCCCGCAGCGAGTGCCTAATTGTGCGGCAGACCGCAGCTGCCCCAGCGACCTCTGGGCCGCGGCAGTCGGCCCCGCATCGACCAACACGCCTGGTGTTTCGGGCCGTCGGCTGCGGCCACACAGGCAAAGCCTCTTTGCAGTCATCAGATTGCAAGGGGGAGGGTAGGTGGG